GACATTTTGTATATGAACATCCCAAAAGACTGATTCCTGAGGCCAATAGAAATACAGGCCAGAGTATGAAAATGTTAAAACCTCTATTTTGGATCTTAAGGCCTTTAAAAGATTAAAACACCATATTCCTAAAATTTTGACTCTAGACCATGAAGTTAACAATAAAACCTAAGAAACAGAAAACCAAGAATGAAGAGACAGAGAAAAGAAAAAAGACCTGCTTATGTAGGAAAAGCAGTCTGAATATGTTTGCACAGGGGAGTACTGCCCTAAGAGGAACCTAGCATCGATGTATTAATTTCAACTTGGTCTCCTCTTCCCTTTATTTCCATGTGACTAACAGATAGTGAAGAGTGGAGTTTTAGTTAGTCACATGGAAATAAGACAGACACAGTTCCTGCCTGCTCTTAAGGTCTCACAGTCCAGAAACAGTTACAAATTAGTTAAACTCAACCTAAGTGCTTCTGAATCTCAGTATAGTAACCTGACACTCCACCTATACATGTATGTGACAAATATACAGATATGGGAGATAGAAATCCAAAGACATTTCCCAAGAATGATTTCCCATTCTTTTGATAATTAAAGGATACGCAAAGCTGGGCTCTGCTGTGAAGGGATTTTACAGAAATAGGTGCTCGCCGCCGAGTCACAACTGAAGTAGCTCTAACCCATCAGTGAGCCTCTTAAAAGCTGAGTTTTCTTTGGTTGAGATAAAACTGTCAAGTCTTAGAGATTTAAAAGATTCAAATGCACTGTTGCTTTGAAGATAAAAAGGCTACCCAGGAAACATGGACCTTATAGCAACTTTGGAACTGAGGTCTGCTGAAAAAGGAATGTACCTTGATGCCTATTCTTTCTAAACCCTTCCAAAGAGGATCAGGGTGGCTCTTGACTTTGGCTCTGTAAAACTTTAAGCAGAAAACCCGGATATAATCTACTGTAAACTCCTAATGGGGAGTCACCGTAAGTCTCTAAGGTTCTGATATTTAGCAAGAGGAAACAAATATACTAATAATGTAAGTAAAGTGCCAAAGAGGCATTATTACATAAAATTATTTATTTCTTTCCATCTCAAGTAGAAGATACATACTGTATAAAATATACTAGAAAATCTGCTAAATGCACCAGCACACACAATAGAACAGAGAAAATTATTTCTGCTTATAAAAGTAGATGTCCCTCATTTATTTATTTTTATTCTGCTGCCGGTTTGACTTGGCTTTGAATAGCAATTCTTACAGTTTGATTTACAATCACTTTGTAAAGTGGATTTTATTTATTTGGAGCACATGTTTCACTTTTAGTAGAACCTTATTTTGACAGTAAAAATATAGCAACTCTTTTAAGTCTCTTACTAGTAGTGAGAAATACTGAGTGAATTAGAATTTAGAAAGCTGAAGGGCAAGCCCCAATTTATATAGTTTATCTTGTTTATAACAAAGAACAAACAGAAACTAGGTCAACAAATGGGTACATACTATAGAACATTCTTAATGAACTCTTAGTTTTAAACTGATAACACACTGGCAGAGACACCAGTTACTAGAGTTTGGAGATAAACTGAGGAAGATCCAAGTAATCTTCATGTTTATACTGTGTGCTAGCACAGACTATTTGCCAATCCAGTATCATTCAATTTAGAGAAAATCCAACTTATTTCATGAAGGGAGTCATTCTTATTCATAACCAGTAATTTTATTGTTAGGTTCAAACCCAGACAAATGGCTGGGGTGCCTACTTAACATATCAAAGCAGACCTGGCTGCCAGGTTCTCCCAACTTCCCCCAGTCCCTAACTGTTACAGGACCCTCTTGGCTGGAACATCCTTCCCTATATAATCTGCTGCACCTGGTTCCCCTCTCCCCCCCCCCCCCCCCCCCCCCCCCCCCCCCCCCCCCCCCCCCCCCCCCCCCCCCCCCCCCCCCCCCCCCCCCCCACCCCTCCCCCCACCCCCCCCCCCCCCCCCCCCCCCCCCCCCCCCGCTTTCCCACAGGGCCCAGCTCACTCAGGTCATGCCCACTCTGAACTCTCCCAGACGCCCCTGCCTCTGACTGTGCTCTCCTACATTTCCATTAGCTTTCTCTCCATCATACCTAGAAGCAGCCATGTCCTTTCCTTTTTCTTTTTTCATTCAATTAACAAAATGAACTGTAACATTTGAAACGTTTTTACTAAGACAGACCACACCTTGCAGGTTACTAATTTGCACTGCATTTCTGTACAACAGTAAGGATTAAGAGTAATTATGTGGAAGAATAGAATGAATTCAGTACTTAGCTAAAGATAAAAAACAACCAATGAACCAAGAGTGAAAACAACCAATGCCAGGCTGACAAATGAAAACAATGTTTTCCTAAGAGAGATGGAAAAAGAAAGTCAATAAATCAACAAGCCAAATGCAATCACCAATTTAATGTTACCACTTAATCCTTTCAGCCATAGACTATGAGGTTAAAATCCAAAGGTCTATCTTAGATATTCAAACAAAGTTCCCAAGAAAACTCATCACAGTCACATGGTCAATTATTCCACATGAAGACAAGAGTTCTCCATTATAACGGTGAATATATAAAAATTATCCAATGTAAAAAACTATACAAGTATTTCTTTATCTCCATGCTTATGAATGCCATCACCATTATTTGTATATGACCCAAGATCAATTGAGAATGAAGAACGAATTCTAGAAATAATTTTAAATAATAATGTATTGTTTGGAAAGTGAATTCTAAGTTTTCAAAGTTGTTAAACTTATTTAATGTTTATAAAATTCAATAAAAGCAAACCAGATAAATAGGCTTAAAAGACTAAAGTTGTGTTGAAATTGCAATTTTGGGAAGGTGTTAAAAAACAAGCTTTAGGGGCTGGAGAGATGGTTGAGAGCACTGCCTGCTCTTCCAGAGGTCCTGAGTTCAATTCCCAGCAACCGCGTGGTGGCTCACAACCATCTGTAATGAGATCTGGTGCCCTCTTCTGGCCTGCAGGCATACATGCAGACAGAATGCTGTATACATAATAAATACTTAAAAAAAAGCTTTATTGTTGAAGAAGAAACTCTATCTTGCATGACAAGGGAGGGAGAAATTTGAGAAACTGTGTAGCCGTGTTTTTAGTAATTGATAATAGCAAGATTATTAAGATAATATTGTATAAACTGAGCTACGGTTGAGGGTAAGGTTTTTCTTATAGATATGAGGAAGAGTAAAGCCAGAGGCAAGTGGTATAGTCCATAGAAGAAATCAAAGTAGTACTGAAGGTTAGCACAAGCTTTGGTACACTAATAGGTACCACAGATAGCCAGTTTCTTTTGGACTTGATCAGACAAATATTATACTTTGCATTTGTTTTATCAGTTAAGAAATCTGTTGCCTATTCAACCACTCTCAGGTATGCCCCGATGTGTTTTACTTTCTCCACCACCCCCAATATAGGATTACTTATGTATTTTCTGTACTGAAGACATGAACTCAGGTCCAGGACCTCAATTTGTGCAAGAGACACTTAACCAATTGAGCAATCTCCCCAAGCTCCTGATGATTAATCCTAATTTTCAGCTTTAATGGTGGAGGCCCAAAAATGTGAGCCTATTTTTACCTTATCTGATGGTCAGAGGGTTTGGAGGTTGCTCAAAATGGCTCACAAGTGTAGCGACACATTCTGACTCAGGATGTGATGATTTGTTTTTGTTTTTTTTTGTTGTTGTTGTTGTTTTGTTTTGTTTTTGATGGCTCATACAAGAGATCCATTCCATCCCGACAGACAGTCAGGATATGCAAATGTACTTTTGTTCCTTTTTTTTTTTTGTAATATGGGGTTACCTGGGGAATGGCTTCCTTTAGGACACTTGGTCTAGAGTGGCTCTTCTGCCTAAATAACAGAATGCTAATGACTTGATGCCTTAAAGTGTTAAAGCATTAACACTTTATCCTTTGCACCATGTTAAAGAAATATTTTGGTTGCCTTTTCTCACCCTTTTTTATATTGAGGTATAAAAGCACATGGAAACTTAAATGCAGACAATTCAGTATTCATTGGAATGCCCTCCCAGTACTATTCTACGGTTTTTGTTTTATTATTTTTCACTTGTCTTCATATTCCTTACTAATATTTCTAAATCCCCACGCCCTTATCCTGGCAAGAAGTGTTTTTGTTGAGGCTGGTCCCCGACATACGGTACCCAACGTGGGGCAAGAGGTGAACCCAAAACGCACAAAAGCGTAGCCAGGTGTACAGTATGTTGAGGGACCCCACAAAAAAATTATATATATAAGTGGAGAGGTGAGTAATGAACGTTCAAAAATAAATAACAGATAATAAAAAAGGAAAGAGAAAGGTTAAGCAAAAAATCAGAGGAATATTTCCTAAAACTTAAATTTTTAGTCTCTGCCTGGAAATAAAAACCTTCTCAACGGTTGGTTCTAAATTATCATGCATGCACAGCAACAAAACCATTAGGTAAAATCTGCCCCTTCCCCACAAGCTTCTTTACTCAGAGTAAATCTTCTGCAGGTTTGACCACTCTGTTTCTCTCTCCTCTAAGAGTTCTTAGGTTAAATTCTGATCAATTACAGCACATGAAGAGAAGTGACGTGTAAATGTAGAATACTGGCTACACACGAATGTAAAGAATCATACCATGTGAAACATATAAGCTAATCAAAGACCTAAGACTCAGCAAGCTGTCAAGATAACTCAAAAAATAAGCTAGTAAATATGTCAGCTGAAGAGTCAACTGGCCCTTTTAGAATTGTTAAAAGTGGCTAGCGAGTGGTGGCCCACACCTTAACTCAGGAGGCAGAGGCAGACTGATCTCAAGAGATCGAGGTCAGCCTGGTCTACAGAGCTAGTTCCATCCAGTACAGGCAGAGCTACACAGAGAAATTCTGTCTCGAAAAACCAAAAGAGAAAAAAAAAGATGTGAAAAATGAGTTCGATACAAAAAGCACACTATACAATGAATATTAGGTAATTTTAGCCATGGAGAAAACTCTGTTTACCTGCAAATCAATATTGTTGTCAATACAATGTTCATTCTTCTCTGCCAAAATCTTCCCATAGTTTTCTGATTTAATAAGATTTTCAACTCTGGTTGTATCTTTCACTTCTGCCTCCAAATCCTTCATTGTTTCAGTTTCATCTTTTATAATAACAATATCAGACATCCTCATTAGCAAAGGTTACTTTAGAATTCTACAGGGAACTTGAAGCCTTGGCAAAAAAGAAAAGTAATCTTAATTTAGTTTGAAACATTCTTTATATTCAGTTACTACATAATATTAACTAAAGACTTCTGATTTCCAAGAACAATGCTGAATGCACAGAAGCAAAAGCAAAATTCCTACCTTCAAGGTAGATATTCCTTAAAAATGTTACAATACAGTGAGAAGAGACCTGAGCTAGATCAAGATGAGAAGTGGCTGAATGATTACTTAAATATACTTAGATAACATTAAAGTATCCTTCCTTAAGAAATACTATCAACATTTCCCCACATCCTCCTCTACTCTGAATATTCACTATTCCCATATAGTAAATGCATTTTCCCGTCACAGTTTACACTTTGACTCCTAAAATTGCAAGCTTTAAAATTTTTCCTGGTCAGGCAGCAGTGGTGCAGAGGCAAGCAGATCCTGTGAGTTCAAGGCTAACCTGGTCTACAGAGCAGTTCCAAGATAGCCACAAAGAAACGCTGTATCAAAAAAACAAACAAAACAAAAAGGAAAAAAAAAACTGCCCCGATTTAATCATAAAAATGAAAAGCAAATATTCTATATAAAACACATTTGTGAGTCTGGGCTAACAATTCTGTTTTATAATGTAAACAAAGCGTTAATGTCTTTTGATTCATGTGATTCAATGCCAAAAAACATGTATAATCATACACTCTAGAAAATGAACTTCCTGAGAATCAAATGACTGGGACTCATGGAGGCAGGCAGAGATGGTGAGCCTGTAAGGGTCTGACCTAGGTCCTCTGCATATTTGTTATGGCTGAAGAGTTTGATGTTCTCATGGAACAATGGGAACAGGTGAGGTAGCTTACTCTTTTGTCTACTTATGGAACTGTTTTCCTCCTAGTGAGTTACTTCATCCAGCCCGGTTTTATTGTAGTATATTATGTCATGTTTGGTTGCTGTCCCTGGGGGGACCTGTTCTTTTCTGAGCAGAGACAGAGGGAGGTGAAGAGGTAGGGGCAATGGAAAGTTGGGTAGGAAAGGGAGGGGAAACTGCAAACAGGATGGAATATATGAGAAAATAAAAAGGAAAGAAATGAGCTTTCTGAGAGATCAGACACGGACATTAGTATATTTCATGTAACTGGTGAATCTAAGAGAAAAAGTGGGAATTTCATCCCAGATATCAGGAACAGGAATGCATCAGAGATTAAGCAAAAACTAGAGGCAGAGACACATGGAAAATGGGGTGAAACTGGTATGGAAACGGTCAACTACAAAACGAAGGAATGGTTGGTTTATGAGACACACTGTAAAATCCTTTCAACTTTATTATAATTTTGACAGTTTTTATAATTAAGTCACGATGAAAAAAAAACTTCAGTAAATTTGTCTTCTCTTTAACAAACTGGAAAATTAAAAGCCCCCCCCCACAACAAAAGCCTTAACAGATAAATACATTTGAAAACTGAAAAAGTAATTCATAAAATCATAGACTAATCTGAATTAGAAAAATAAAAACAAAGACACATCTTATTTAGACAGGGTTGCAGTGCAGCACCTGTGAGAGGGAGGGGCTGACTCACCTGTAGTAAGATAAGTTTGGCAATATTTTGGGGTACTCTAACAAGCCAGCAAGCAAACAAGCAACCAAAATGTCATCTGTAATTTGATCCCAAACCAGAAGTTCATTAGCTCATTCTGAAAACAATTCAGGTTGCAAAGTAGAGAGAAGGTAAATTGGCAAAGAAAGATATTCAAGCCCTTCATTTCCTTCTGAATGAACTGTAAAGAATACAGGCTACCCAAAGACATAGAAGAACATTACCTGATGTGTCCTATGGATCTGGGATTGTGGTGTTCCACAAAAATAAAATAAAATAGCCCAATGTTCCTTTTCACAGTTGTCAGCCAGGATGTCAATTGTATTGAACCAACAGTAATCTCGCGAGAGGAGTCCCATGTCCTTGTCACCACTGTAGATTCCTGGGCTGAAATGGACTGTCTTGGATCAAATATATCATACCTTCCAGTGGCCTACAGTAAAAACAAAAAACATTAAAAAACTAAAATAAATAAACAAACAGGATAGGAACATGGAACACTCTACAGTTACTTAGAAATTAAAAAGCTATTGTTGAAGATCACATTACTTTCTAAACAAGGGTCAGAATGTTTTTAACTAATTCTGAGGTATAAGGAAGGAGTCATCTGAGACAACAGAGCTGATCTAAAAGGCAGAGGGGAGAGAAGAGGAAGCAACAAATATACAACATGGTTAGGCAGCAGGGAGGATGGCAGCCCTACTTTATCAATCACTTTAAGTCCAAGAGGTAGGGTTTCACCTAGAACTCTAACTATGGATCGAAGACTGTAATTCAAGATAACAATAGTATATCTTGGAGCTTTAAAAGAAGGTTGTAATAATCCACTTAATGTTCCCAAAGAAATCCATTGTGCCTGATAAAAGAAAATGTATATATAAAGGGTGGAATGAGTTTTAGTGACATCTATAAAAAAAAAAATCAATACCCAAAATTCTCACCATATTGTATTTAAAACATTTTCAAAAATTATTTAGGATAGTGGTGATTGTAATGTGTGGCACGGCACACACCTCCAGAGATCAGAGGACAACTGCAGGAACAGGGTCTTTCTTTCCTCCTGGTGAGTTCCAGGGGGTGCCAGGCTTCCTGCCTTTACTAACTTTACATCTCACCAGCCCTCCCATGTATTTTTAAAGTCAGTTTTATTGTGTTTGGTGCAAGTGAAAGCTATTAAGCAAGAAGAGAACACTGAAAAAGATCACATGGCTCTTCCAATTTCCTTTAACAATATTCAGATAAAAAGAATAATATAATTTTAGGTAAAACAACTGAACACAATGAGATCTAATACAAAGAGCACTAATGGTAACACAGTTGTGCATGCATGACAGAACAATTCACATCTTATACAAACTCTTCAAAAACTGCTTTAAAAAGCATTTATGCAAACCAAAATTACCCTGAAATTTCATTATACATCAGCCAGAATGGCCAAGATCAATAGACAAATGACAGCTCCTGCTGACAAGAATGTAGGATAAATGGAACACTCTTCCATTGCTGGTAAAAGTACAAGCTTGTACAGTCACTATAGAAGTCATATAGCAGTTATTCAGGAAGCTGGGAATAGAGCTACCTCAAGACCCAGCTATACCACCCTTGGAACCCAAAAGGACTCTACATTTTACTACACAGACACTCCCTCATCCATGTTCATTGGTGCTCTCTTCAATCATAATAGCCAGAAACTGAAAACAGCCTAGACATATATGGATCAGCAAATAAATGAATAAAGAAAATGTGGTAATTTACACAATGGAATATAATTCAGTCGTTAAAAACAATAAACCTCCTGGGCAGTGGTGGTGCATGTGTTTAATCCCAGCACTTGGGAGGCAGAGGCAGGTGGACTGCTCTGAGTTCAAGGCCAGCATCATCTACAAAGTGGATTCCAGGACATCTAGGGCTATTACACAGAGAAACCCTGTTTCAAAAACAAAAACAAACACACACACACAAATCCCACAAAATCATGAAATTTGCAGGTAAATGAATGGAGCTAGGAAAAAAACAACATGAGAGGCAACCTAGACACAGAAAGAGAAATATAGTATATATTCCCTTAAATATGGATGTTAGTTCTTAATTCTTCGATAGGCATGCTATAATCCATATAATCATGGTGGTTAGGTGAATAAAGGTCTAGGTAAGAGCTGAGGCTCTCCCGAGGAAGGGGAAATAGAATATACAGTTATGGAAAGATGGACAGACAAGAACAAAAGGACGAAATGAAGAGGAGAGTAAAGACATTCCTTTTCGCATGCATCAAGTTTCTTTTATAAAATTATTAAATGTGCAACAACTGGCAAACACCCTGTTTTATAACTTTTAATGTGCTGCTACCTTTACTTAAATTGTCAATTATATTTTTTCTAAAAAAAATAAAAACAAAGCCCTTGCTCAAGGCAGCATCTCTAAGGATCACACAAGGTGGGGGACTCAAAAGGTTTTGTTTCTCTTTTTGGTAAAAGAGCAGTTTACTGGTGGGGCGGTGGTAGAGGTAGGAGGATCTCTGTGAGTTTGAGGCCAGCCTGGTGGTTTACAAGTCCTAGTTCCAGGACAGACTCCAAAGCTACAGTGAAACCCTGTCTTGAAAACAAAACAAAAGAGCAGTTTAGATTTTAGTAACAAATAGCTTCAAAACAGCCATTACCAACCCTATAAAGTATGTGAGGGGCTGCTGCTTAACACAAACAACCCTCAGCTGCTTGCTGTATCCAGAGATTCATCACCACAAGACATACTGAGCTGTCATACTGGCTCAGCTTCCTAGGGCTGCAAGCTGAATGAATGGAAAGGGTGTAATGTTTCAATTTTTAAAATGACTTCACTTCATATTTCTAGCTATGCCTCGTTTTGTAGTCAATACTTAGTAAATTTCTTTTGTACTGTAACTTTCATTCAATGTTCAATTTTTGTTGTTGCTCATGTCTGCAGTACTATAAAAGTACTAGGACAATAAAATGTTCTGTTACTTCCCCCGGGTGACCCTGTATGGAAATCTAAATTATCATATGCTCAGTTATTGTAGGTCACTGTTTAATTTGAAGACAAGTCTGGGCCAGGGATGTGACTCAATTGGTAGACAGCATTCCATACCCAGACACTGAATAAACCTGGTGTGGCTGTGAAGGGGGAGGAAGGAAAATCAGAAGTTGAAAGTCACCTTCAAATACACATAGAGCTCATTCCATCTGGACTATATGAGACCCTATTTTGGTGAACAACAACAAAAACCACCTGAAAATCACAGTGTGTAGCATCTGTGGGAGTGTCTGCTAGTGTGTAGACATCAGCCACACGCTGCTTGGAGTATTTGAAAATAAGTAAACAATAAAAGTTAAAAATAACAGACTAAGTAAGCACCAATTAACAGACCAGATAAAGTAGCAATTCTTAGACCACCTCGCTAAAACCAAGGGCTTTCTAGTCTGCCATAGCACTAGCACAGGGGTTTCCTCCCACATGCAGACTCAGAGACCATGTGATTTTTAGGAGTTCATGGCTCCTCACAATCACCACATAAATCTTAACAAACCTTGATTTTTATTTCCTGCATGCATATTATATAAATGTACAATCAAAGATTTACATTAGCTACATGTAGACATATAAACACATCAGAAAATATGCAAACCATATAACAAAATGATGTATAACTATATAAATCAGATTTACATAAGATCATTTAATGCGACATATTTATAATACTATATGATGCATCCCATTTTATAACACACATGTATAAGAGTTGTTGGTGCCTATCTATAATCCTAGCACTTCAAATGCTACATGACAGCAATTTTGAAGCCAGTTTGAAATATATAGTAGAGAAACCGTATCTTGACACATATACAACTATGTTTGTATGCTAGTCATGTATATGCATCTGGAGAACTAAGAATTAAGAAATATATATTTACATGCATATAAACTTGCTCTGCTCTGCTCAAGAGAGAACATAGGGCTAAGTACTGAGATATTAACTGAGCTTCCTTGAATCCACTGTATTCACTTTGACTTAGAGAAATTTAGAGGGTAAATAATATTGAGTATACAGACTGAGTAGCTTTTGTCCAATTGCTAAAGATCAGCAGTGTTTTGTTTTTAAAAACATTATGCCCTATTTTAGAGCTGGAGAGATGGCTTGGAGATTAAGAACATCTGTCCTTTTTGCAGAGGACCCGTTCAGTTCCCAGCATCCATTACCAGGTGGCTCATGATTGCCTAAAATTCCAACTCCTGGCACTCTGATACGATACCCTCTTCTGGCCTTTTTGGGCACCTGAACATACATGATACATATACAGACAAGTAGGCATATGCATACATACCCTTTTAAATGACATTTGCATATATGTGTACATATATGCTTGTATATCCAACTTTTTATACATACAAACAATAGGGTGTCTGTCTGTCTACCTTGCCTAGAGGTAGTTTTATTTATATTTTTAACATTCCTTTCATTTTGACTTTTACACAAAATGAAGCGTAGAATTTTCTTTATGTCATCATTTTCCTCAGACAGATTATTTTGCATTTTGGATTTGGGAATTAGGAATGCCAGACTGTATTCTGTAGCAAAATTAACACAAATCAATTGAAATGAGTATTGATTAGCTATAGAGGAATAAGAAGACTTACAGAGACAATGAACTTTTTTGGGGGGGGTGATCTAATTTCACCTCCACATCAAGGATCTAATCATATAGCAGAGACATATAGTACAAAGCAGTAGAGCCATTAAAAGAAGGTAGAAGTAATAAGTGCTTGAATTCGGCAGTGGGAGATAGAGGTATATGTTAAAACAGATTTAAATAATGATATAAAAAGGTCACAGAGGTATTGAAAAATACAAGTTTATTCATAACCTACAATATTATTAAGAGGGAATTAACTATAGGTATCTTTATTTTTAACTGCTTTCTACAAACCTGAAAATTTAATAGAAATTTTCATTTAAGAGAAAAACCTCTGTCTCTTAATGACCTGTCCATGTACAGTATGTAATAACTTCAATCTAATTACAATGCTTCAAGCATGAAGCTCTAAAGAAAACGGAAAAAGGTTAGATGTCTGTTTATTTTGATATATAACCTTAGGATCACAACTCTTTACTTACTAGTTTGAGAGAGAACAGAATTTAACATAAATTAAATGCAACCAGTAACTGCTGCTGACTAAACAGCGACGACAAGAAAAAAGGTTAAAATCAGCTGCACATCTACAGTAAATGAAAACTGAAACCTTACATATGAAGCAGTGGGAGAAAGAGCCATGAGAGCAAGCAATGGAAAACAAAAAAACCCCAAAGACCAGTAGTCAGAGGCAGGTCTATAAACACAACAACAATGAGAGAAGCACAGAAGAATGAGGAGGGGCCAGAGGAGGGATGAGAGTATGTCAGACACAGGTCATCAGACAGAC